CTCATCATCCTGCACCCTGAGGCCCCTGCTGCCCTGCGCCCTGCCACCCCAGCTGACCTTTGCCATCTTCTTGCTCCTACTGCTGACAAGGCATGCCTGGCTTGGCTCTTCATGAGGCAGCTGCTGGCCATGTGAGGCCATCTTCCCAGGTCTTATGAGGAAACAGCTGAAGAAAGCCTCACATGGTCAGCAGCTGCCTCGTGAAAGGCCAGGCCAGGCCTGCCTTGTCAGCAGCAGGAGCAAAAAGATGGTAAAGGTCAGCTAGGGCAGACAAGCACAGGGCAGCAAGGGGCCAAAAGGGCAGAGATGGCGGGGGAGATAGGTTGGTGGAAGGAGTTGAAGCATCCCTGCAGCTGTAAGTGTGGGCAGGCTGCCAAGTGCCCAAATTTTGATCACATGACTGCAGGGACATTGCAACGGCCATAACTTTTCTCAGAAAATATTCACCAAAACCTTTTTTAAAAAAAAGCATTAAAACCACAGCACACATACTCCAAAGTTCCATTATGAAACTTTCTACTGATGTTTTCCAATTATTTTATGAAGTTCAGGAAGAACACATTGGATTAGATCCAATTTTTGTCTATAGAGTATACCAACTGAAATAAAAATTTAGGTTAATCATAGCTCATATCCTGTTAATTTCAAAAGTTCTGCTCTAAACATACAGCTACCTTTCAGATTTTTGCTCATGTTGAGATCTAAAAAAGAAATTTCATTGGCTTCACCCAAAAAAACAGGTGTGAAGAATGGGTGTTGTACCAGCGTCTCCTTACCCACACATGGTGTCTTCATTTTGGAATAAGCTCCTGCTCTATAAATTACAATAAAAAGGCAGCTGTATATAGTTTATTAAACCATGATGCAGTTTAATAACAGACTTGGCACTGCCTACTTGTGATAGTACCTAATTGATGTGATAGTACCTAGCTGATCTTGTGCAACATCAGAAAAAAATAAGCAGCATCAGTCATGCTTAGTATTTGGATGGGAGATCACCAAAGAATCCTAGGTTTATCCTAGGTAAGAAATTCTAAAAATACCCTGAAGTAAGTCAGTGACAAGTTACGTTCACACTTTCACCAAAAAAACAACATGAATATGACTCAAAGGAAACTATATTGGAGGCTTCACACTAGAGGACTCAAGTGTGTATCTCAACTCTAAACCAGTTGTAGCTAATATTCATTTATAATTAACAAGTTTTGCAATGAAATTTTCTGCCATAGTTCTGTAATCGACTGCACAGGATTCATAGTATCTAAGTATATTTATTGGACTTAAGACAGTTTTGGATGCTTTCACATGAGGCTTTTCTGCAACTGTTCATAATATTTTAGAGGTCAAGAGAACACTATTTTCCATGTGTAAATCTTTTGAGTTTTTTCATTGCTTTGTCTTTTTTCTTTACAGGAAAATACATGTTGAGGAAAAGATAGAATAGCTGCACAATGCTGTCTATCATTAACATTAGGAGCCCTCTATTTGGAAATGCCTAGATTGCTTATGAACTAGGGGTATTGATTTTTGCTTAGATTGCCATAATTCATCTAGAATCTTGAATTACAATTGCAATGGACAAATTGTTGCTTTGCTATTTTATATTGTCCCCCATGCCTCTCAAGATCTGAATAGTGAACAGGCAAATACTAGAGCATTAAGAATCTATGTATCACTAATTTCTTTGCTGCAAACAAAAGGAGCCAATAAATTGGGTAGGAGCTGTTAAGATGAATATGTAATTAATATTGGAAAGGGCCTTTGCTAAGAGAGTTGTGGGATAAATATTATAGAAAGCTTTTGCCTAGTGTGACATTGCTGGAATAATATACTGCTGTACCAGCCTGCCCACTGCCATAAATCTGCTAGAAAGGTCATTCTCAGTGACCTCATCCAAGTTCTGGAACATCATGTCCTAGGAGTGGCAAAGTAATTGAATATTGTTGTCTTCTTTCCTGAAATTCCCAACACACATGGGATTTAATAGAAAAAAGCCAATACAAGTTCCCCCCTTATTCCCTGTACAGTAAGGACACAGGTATTTCAGTAAAGAAGCAGACAGAGAAGAAAAGTTGAAACTCTTCTCCATGTGGATAGCGGTTCAGAGAGAAAGAGAGGAGGATTAGCTGCTGGCTAGGCAATGACTCTAGTCTGTAGTTCAACTTTCAGATGGCCAAAATTTAATTTTCTGCTATCTAAAGATTTACTTGTTTCAGTACGCTATTGTGCTGCAAGGCAGATACTTTTGGTTGATGTTTATTTATTTATTAAATTTGTATGATGCCCATCTCCCCCAGAGGGTGATTCTGGGCAGCTCAGTTTTATCTATTTTGCTTGCCTCTAATGTATTTCACTGATATTATTGTCCTGTAATATTGTACTCTTTTGTATATCCTTGAAATTTGCATAAATATCAGAGACTTTGGTCCTCTGGCCAAGACTGAAAATAATTAACAAGATGCCACTGTGTAAATTATTATGATTTAGGTATATCTTTGATATGTTATCCTGTACCAGATGGCCTATTGATTATGATCATCTGAGGCTTTTCTCTGATAGCCGCATCTTTTAAATTAACTAGAAATCTTCGTCTAGTACACTACTTCAATGTTATTTTAGCTTCAGGGGGGAAAAAGCGTTATTTTTGCAGAAGTTTGACTCTTGTAAGTAAAGAATACTTTTACTGTGCTTTTGATTTTTTAATGTTATCCTAAATTATTTTGTTGGCTATTTTGTGTTTATTATGCATTGCATTTTTTACTGCCTTGTTGTCTTAAAGGTGTGGAATACAAGTATAAAAAATAAGCAGCAGATTTTTATTGGTTTTTGGAAGAAGACTTTAAGCTTACTAAGAGCCTAGGCCCAGGATGCTGATTTCTCCTAATGAAATCAAAGCAAAGCAAATCAATCAATGGCACTTACAGAAGTGTGGCAAGCATATGGATGCAGGTTCTTTAGAAGTACAGTCAATAATAGCTACATCCTGTTTCTACAGATAAGTCTTTGGAACATTTGGTCAATAGAATTAAATGAAGATTTTTGCTAGTCTGGTTTTAATTAAGTTTTTATTCATTTGTGAAAATACTATTTTTAAGTGAAACTAATAAAATACAGAAAAGGAAACACGAGCATTAAGTGACTAATTAAAGTCACATAAAGCATTTCACCTTCATTGACCTCAAGCCGAGAATTATGCATAGATGCAGTGAAAAGGCAACATAAACTACACATGAATCATTACATTTTTGCAATCTTAAAATAGTATATTTTTAAAACTAATATACTTAAAACCAAATAGTTACAAGAAGAAAAAAGGCATGTATTATTTAAAGGAAGGCTGACACATATCAAAGAAATAATACATGAAAAATGCAAATAATCTGTCAAGCAAACAAACATTCACAAGGAAAACTATATTTTAAAAATCTACAAAAGCACATCAATAAATTATATTAAATTTTAATCATTGCCTTTAAGAATTAAGTAGTTCTGCTTTAGGAAAACATAGACATAAACCAGCCAAAATGAAGGACACTTATAACCCATGAATTTTGATGAGTTCATTAAACATATAGAAATCAATGATATGATAGTGTGCAACTTTTGACAGACTGTTCATTTTCACAAAAAAACTTCTATAGCTTTAATAAACTAGGCAATACCTTATATATTTCAAATTCTTATTTTAGGCGTGACCTTTGGACCTTTTATCTACTTCCAGGATCCAGCATTAAGACCAAATAGAAGACAGACCATACTGCACGTTAGTGTGCACAAAAGGATCCAGCATAGCAACTGACAGCACTTAAGAATTCCTATGGAGAGCCATCACTCAACACATAATCTGCAGCATAGGCCAGACAGGAATGACTTGTGGTCCATGGGTTTTGTGAAGGCTGTGTCAAAGGATTGCCAGTCATGTGACTGTGGCCAATGAACAGAACAGTTTTTGCAACAGTGGGACAAAACTATCCATACCAGTTCTGCTTCTCAGGTGGATCAGCTTCATCATCACTTCTTATTTATACCACAACAGCTTAAACCAACACATAGGATCCAGGTGTTGGAATTTGTTTTACAACAGATTTAGCTTTGTAACTCTATCCATCATTATCTATCTAAATATAGGACAAATGTGTGAATGTTACTTTTACATGGAATTAAGCTGGATATCACTGAAATGACATCAAGGTGAAATACAGGCACTTGACAGGTATAATACGCAAGGCAGAACCTCTATTTGTCACAGTATAAAAAAACCTTCCATAAATGGTAAGAATACATAGTTGACCCTCTTAAGTTTCACTCCTGGATTTGTTTCTATGTCAGATCTCAATGCCAACATACTTTTGCTTCTTTTGTATGGAGATCTTCCATAAATTATAAAGTATAGAGATCTTTGCATTAAGAAAATGGCTATTCTGGAATTACTGTCAACTAATTTTAAGAAATTAGGGCACAACTAGACAGAGTCAGGTAGTAAATCACTTTCAAAAGAATATACATATTTTTAATACTTTCTCTGAACTTGAAAGGGGTCTTAATATACTTTTACTCTCATTGGTTTGAATATTCTGTTTTAATTTGCCCAAACAAATTACTGGTTCAGCTATAATGCTACAATAAAATCCCATTCCTCCAAAGGAAAATGCTGTAGTTTGCCATAGCAACTATTTTTAGGCAATCTGGTGTTTGAAAAGAAAAAAAAAGTCAATCTTCCTTCAACATAGAGCAGATGCCATTAGTTTGAAATACATCTGTCAGATGAAAAAAATGAAAAGCAAAAAAGAGTGTGCTAATAGCCCAATTTCCAGGTTCAGGCTGATTGTGGCAGCCTAGTCCCCCAATTCTGCAATCTGCAGGGGAGTCACCTGATCACAAGATACTGCTCGGCATAGGGGCATTTCAAAGTGCAATGGAGCAGCAAGGAAAAATTATGCATGCTCAAAGACATAAGACAGCACTGACATGATGAAGGAAGGCTATACGATCCTGGTGTATTATTGACAGATATCTATTATATCTCAGGACTATAGCCATCATTTTTGTCTGTACAGTATGATATTTTATTTTTTTAATATAATTTAATGCATTAATTTGTGGGAAGAAACTATACCTTGGAAATGTTCTGCATAGCTATAAAATAGTCCTTAAAAAAACCTGCTGATTACTGAAAAGAAATTTTGAACATAAATTTTTAGTATCTATATTGCTAAACAGGTCATTATATAAGCAGTGACATATATGCTCAATATCAGTTTCAAGTAAGGATTGGTAACTAGGAGGCAAGAAATATGCTACCATCCTAGATTAGATACTCATTTTGCAGAACTTGAAATTAAAAAATAATCAAACCTATTTAAGGATGAGCAAGAAACAGTGAAATTCTCTAACCAAACATTTCTACAGCAAACTATTATAATTCAAGGCACTTTTAATATTTTCTTCATTTTTCAAATCAGTAGTACTAGTAGTTAGCTGAGCAATGGCTCTTTGGTAGTTTCTCATTTAGTTATAACTGTCTTCTCCAATTCAAAATTATTGGATTCCCTTCACAAGAACATATTTTGTGTAAAATTATTTTTAGCAAATTTAATCTCCAGACTTTGAGGGAACTTTGTATATGGAGCGGTCAAATGGAGAAGATGCTTATAATGAAGAATGCAGAAAAGCATTTTATCTTATGTGTTTCCTTGTTGATTTGAAGGAAGTTTTTCAAATAAAGTAATTGAATCTATTCCTTCTCTGATGGTGGCACTTATGCATACTAAATTACAGTGTCTTCTATCATGCTAAGCTCATACATGGGACAATTTTAAATAAATGTATATATAAAAATATCCTGTTGGGGAAAGAACTCCTACATTAATTTGAAGAGTACATTTCTTCTCTATGAATAAAATTAGCAGCAATCAGTGACCAAATTGTGTACAGCAAATTAAAATAAGCACTTGTACACAGCCAGGACAGTTTGCCACCATGAAAATGCAAAGAAACAACATAGCCAGTCAAATCCTACATAGCAGCAAAGATAGAGGATCCTGTAGTTTAAAAACACGAGAACAAAGATTGAAAAGCAATTCATCTCTAAAAGGATAGTATAAACTGAGTGAAAACATTTCTTATAGGCTGGATTTTCTGAAAGACTTGATTTCTTCATTTTCTAAATGATAGCCTAAAAAATACCTAATAATATGTAATATTAATGGTAATATATACAATGACTCAGCTGAGCAGCAGCAGCCTGAAAAATATCCATATTACTCAAGTTTGCTCAGATGATGAGTTCTTGCTTCTATTTCTACTACGAAGTGGAGCCAAACTACATGCAGCTACCTTAGCAAGTATATAATTTGTGTTTAAGCTGGCAACTGAGTTGTGTTTACAATGTATGGTTTCGGATGATTGCACTTCTGCTTTAGCTGAGTAATAGTTCAACACCACAATATACAGAAGCATTATTTCATGCATCTGTGGCATGTTTGCAACAGAAGAAAAACACTGGTGTTCTTGCACTTCATGTTTCAGTATTTTTAAAAAAGCAGAATTCTGATGTGTCAGCTTGAGAATCAAATGTTCATGCTAAGAACAAGAAAGCAATGTAAAGCTGGAACAATGAGGTATCAGCTACAAACCAGCATTTTCATAAAACAGAAAGCATTCAAAAAATAAAATGTTACCTCAAGTTCAAGAAATCCAAATCTTATATTAATGCAGTGAATATTCAACCAGTGTATACAATCATTAAAGTTTGTAAAGAGCAGCTCAAGATGATAGACAATGTGAATGTGGAAATTATAGGCACAAAGTTGGTGTTGAACTTTGTTCAGTGAGGAAATAGAAGGGCTAAGAAACCAATGAGTCAACTATTAGAGAATTTGAATAATGCAGTTCTGTAAAAATATGCAGTGTTTTGATTTTGGTTTAAGTATATACATAAATCATCTAACCTAAAACAATTTTTAGAACATTCCACTCCTTTGCAGATACATGCAAAACAAAACATTGTTTCACTTTTTCCTGTGGAATGGGTTGATCCAACTATTCTGGGGTTGATGTTAGCATTTGCGGAACAGGTTCTTTATATTCTAGATGTTATGATTTTTAGGAATGCATGCACCCATCCCAGATTGGCTATTCCTGCAGAAAAATGTGGAATACTCTGAAGCTAAAATGCTTATTTTATTTTAAATTATTTTGCCATAACTAATCCTTTGTATCATTCTAGTTCTTCCCAGTTATCAGTAAGGTTACCTTTGCTTTGTCGCCTAATGCTAACCAGCCTTCCAGCTGATTTAATACTCCACCTTGAACTGTTTCCTGAGCTTGCCAGGTTTGTGTACTTTGTAGAGCCTTTGGTTTCATCTTCCCAGCCTGACCAAGATGAATAGTCACTTAAAGTACTTTCTGTATCACTGAGGTGGTCACTGGCAGGAATCTGGGGGGGCTCCCATCCTTCAATCTCATCTGGCTTCCTGGAATGGATGTTCTGTTTTATCACCAAACTGTCCCAAAATCCAGCTCTCTTTTCGGATTTCAAATCCTCTTTAAGTTTTATATTTGTTCTAGAGAATAATGAATAGATTTATTGGAAAGCATATTAAAAAGAAAGATATTTAAATGTCTGGGACAGATAAAATGAACATGGTTTTGCCACTGGATGAACGATAATTATGATGGTTTTCTCAATATCTTCCACTTACTGCTCCAGTTCCACTCACTGAATATATTTAACTCATTTAGGCATTTATCCTTACTTTTCTAGCTTTTAAAAATGGCTAAATGCAGAGTTAATGTAAGATTAACCACAATGGTAAAAATTAAAAGTATGTAATTTGCAAATCCAGAGATTTCTATGGGTTGGCAGCTCTAGCTGTATTATTGGAAATAATGCCAGTTCCCCCCCCCAAAATCATCTACAACGATTGCTGCTCCTATTCAACATAAATGGTTAAGCAGAATGTTTTGATATGAAAAACAGTACAAAATTTAACTGTATATTATCTAATTTTCTGGAATCTTAGTTAATTTTTCCTGATTTAGCACTTTGATTCTAGCTTTAATAATTGGAGTAATTTTACTAAAAGATAGCTTGTTACCTTTTAATATTATTTTGCACTCCATTATATACATACCCTTTAGATTTTGGAGATCTACATCCTGTTAATAATTGCTGTTCATCATCCTTATTAAATATGGATGTTACTTCTTTCCAACCCCGAAAACCTGCACCTTGAACCTAATAATAAATAATAAAAAATATTTTAAATAATTCTATAAAATATGGCAACACTGTAGAAAAGGTTTAATAATTAAACTATATTTTCTTTCATAAGTTTAATATAATTTGAAAGTTCTATTGCATCCTGGATGCAGCTTAATTTAAAACAATTATAATGCAATATACGGCATTAACTCAAGGAAGACTTAAATTTCCTAAAAGATTTCTGTATGTTAATTTTTTCTGGCTTTACATTTTAAAGAATCTAAGATAAACACTGGATTCAGATTCAGCCCAACACTTTTGTTATATAAAGTGGAGACTGGCAGTCTGCTGCCTGCAAATATATTAGACAATGCTCAATGACCTCCAAACGTATTTTTCAAATTATTTTTTAAAAACTTTAAAGTGCCAGAATCTCATGAGATCTCATGACATTTTTTACTACTTTAATTTTTTTTAATTGCTTATTAGGGTTCCTAATCTATTTTAATACTTATATGGCCCAGAAAGCAAAAACAATGCTTTAGCTGTTAACCTAAATATTGTATGGTAACTTTGCAAGATTTTTATTCTATACTACTCAAGAATTAGTTATGTTAATTTCCTGCTTTAGAGAAAAATGCTTTGATCTATAAATAAAATGGACATTTAAGTATTATAAATAAGTATCTCAGAGTGATTTTAAACCTGGTGTTCATCTCTTACAATAATTTACCTGCATTATCAGACTGAAACTAACACATACACACACACACAGAGTTAGCAAAGCCTCTTCAACTGCCTTTCGGCTGAGGTCCCTTAAAGAAAATTGCATCTGTCATATGCACTATTTATTCCCTTCCATTCAGGGTTTGAGAAGAATGTGAACTAGTTAATTTTCCTAGGTAGTAGGATTACACAAGGCCTCTTTCTCATGTTACTTCCTCCCCCCCAATTGTGCATCTGAAATTTGCATAATTTTTTACTGTGCTCAGTAACAGGTCAGAAAAGGTTTTTGTTATTATTTGCTATTGTGGATAGACACTTTTAACACATTCTAAAACAATATTTGCCTTTTCCTTCTATTTTTTGTGGGCTTTCCCATTTCCAAAATATAAATAGCAGTTAAACCATTTAGCTAACCAAAGAAACATGAGATGGATTGAATCTGTTACCTAATATTATGTGGGTAAAATTGTAGAGATATGTAATTTTTTGAAAAATGTCAATAGATCAAGAGGACTGGTTTCAGAAATGCTTTTGAACTAAACTAGAGCTAGAATCTGGAAAAGAAATCTGATTTGCAAACTGGAAAAGAGAGACTGATCGATTGATTTAGGATCAAAAACTTCCCATCTCCATGCTGTGGTAGATTCCTGCATCTTTTAAAATTGCTACAATCATGTGCATAGTATTTAACCTAAGAGTCCATTTTGATACTCAGGTGTATATTTCTACAGGGATGTACCAGAAATCTTGAACTAGTGGAGGCTTTTGAGGTCTGGATGGGACAAAATTGGTTGAAGTTGAACCCCAGTAAGATATACTGTTTGTACAGATTAATCTCTTTTTCCGTCATAATTCTGGGTAGAGTGGCACTCCTCCTGAAAGAGAAGATCGGCAGATTGGAGTGCTCTTGATCTCATAGCTACTGCTAGACAAAAAGGTGGACTATGGCCAGGGAGCGCTTTTCCAGCTTCAGCTGGTGTACCAGTTGAGCTCCTCCCTGAAGCAGAAGGCTCCAGCCACAATGGCTCATGTGTTTATTTCCATGGTGACTCATATACTATACTTACCATCATTACCTGGGCTGTCGTAGTGCACTGTACATACAGCTGCCTTTGTAGACAACTTGGAAACTGTGATTAGTCCAAAATGCAGCAATTAACAAATTGATGAATTACTCACCGTGGTCATGTAACACCTGTCTTACCGTCATTGCATTGGATACCAGTAAGTTTCTCTGTACAATTCAAAGTGTTGGTTTTAATCTATAAATCTCTATATCCTTAGCATTTAGAGACTTACAGGACTGCCTCCTCTGCACGGAGATGGCACATCCAATTTGCCTATACAATGTATAAACCTCACCAAGATCTTTTGCTGACCCTCAGATCTGTGATTTGAAGTGGGAGGGCACAATGGTTTTCAGCTTCAAGCCCCCCATTATAGAATGGCCTCCCTCTGGAATTCAGACTAGCACTCTCACTGCTGGCCTTTCAGAGTCTGCTGAAGACTGAATTGTTCTAGAAGGCATTTGGGGAGTGACAACTGTCACCATTCTGTTATTTGGACTCGTTGTGAACTGCCCAGAATCGCTGAGAGTCAGGCAGCATACAAGTTTAATAAATTGTTGTTGTTGTTGTTGTATACACAATGTGAAATCACAACTGCCAGTTATTTAGCTGGTGTTGACCTTCATTCACATTTTTTTCCCAAGAACCTAGGATGTCATAATGTATCAGTGTAGTATATGTGCAGATCCAAGCAGTGTGGCCTTTTGTAATTGACAGATGAAAATCTTATCAATGCACAGATTTTCTAAGTGCTGCCCAAGATTTTTTGGTATGGCACTCTGTGCCAATAACCACTGAGACCACACTGCCAGTTTACGCCATAATCTTTCAACTTTGGTTTTCAGATCTCGATACTTTTATGATCTTCTCCAATTCTTTGTCTTCCATTCTACTGTCCCCTGGTATTGCCACATCAGTTAGCCATAATTTCTTCTCAACCACAGTTAAATCTGATGTTTTATGCAGGGCTGTGGAGTCGGAGTTGTGGAGTTGGAGCCGGAAGCAATTCTTGGGTTACTGGAATTGGAGCTGGAGTCGGTAAAAATGTACTGACTCCGACTCCTAATAAATTTAAATTGTATATAATATAAATAATACAATATCTTAAAATTTCCTATTTCATAGATAATAATTTGATTAATTTTTTTTCAGGATATATTTTAATTTCAAGTTCTCTGCAAATTTCAAATTATATATTTTGATAAAAATATAACCTCATTTTTTTTTAGCTTTTATCCTTTGTTTAAACTATAATGTTACTGAATGTAATTTCTTTAATAAATAAAATTAAAAAACCAGAATGTCTTAGTTATAGCCTTTAGACCCAAGCTTTAACAGTTAGAGTTCTAAAAAGTTGCCTGCTGATTTATGTTGGCAGTGATGGAATGCCTTGTATGTTGTGTGCTTGCAGTCAATATAGGAAATATATAATTAGTATATTTATAATTTATTTCCTATATCAATATATAATTAAAGGAATTGGAGGTACCATGAATAAAGGAGTTGGAGTCGAAAGTTTTGTGTGCCGACCCCACAGCTCTGGTTTTATGTACCAAAACTTTATCAGTTTGTATTCGGAAATCCCACAGTATTTTAACCTGCTCATTTTTGATGACTACTACCACTACTACTATCTGCACTATTGCTTTTTATTTTGTTTATTCTGATTTTATATTGGCTCTGGGAATTGTTTTATGCTGTTGTATACTGATAGGAGTCATTGGAAATTCAGCAGTATAAAAATGTAATATAAAGAAATAAATAACCCTTGTTCTTGTCTGGAATATGAAATCAGTCCATCATACCACAAGTCAGAACCATGCCATTTTATATTCAAGAGTCCAACTTTGCCTCACTGTGCCTTTCTGGAATATAGCAGATAATCCATTTTTATTTCTATAATCAATTTTAAAATTTTGCAGATTATAATGGGTTTTGTACAAATTTTGTATTTTGTCCAAGATTACTAGGTTTATGTTGAAGCACCGTGACTTTGTAAAGGGAACTTCAAGGTTGGTGGCTTTCCACACCAAATCCAAATAATACATAATTTGGCTAGGAAGAAATGTTTAACCAAATGGGACAAGAGGGATCTGTAGAAAAACATTATAGCATAGCATTATTTTTAAAGAACTCCAGCCATCCCATTTCATTCTCCTTCTTCCTGTTTCCCTGGTCTCCTCTAGAAAAAAATCAGTGCTGTATGGCCACTAAAACACACTGAGCCCTCACTATAGTATTCTTCCTAAATATTATTTTTAAAGCTTAAAGTTGTATTTATCTTGTAAATGCTTAATACCATTTTAACTGCTTAAAGAGTCAACCCTCATAGCCTGATTCAGAGGGAAGGGGTGGGACTTGAAATAAAATGCTGCAGTGGGGTACGCTGTCATTTCTTTTTCCGGCAGATAGCCACATGTTATATTCCTTTTCACTTCCCTTCCAGTTTTCCCTCTCCATCACCCTTGTCTTGCTGATATTTAGCACTCATCTGCCAATGAATATACTCAGTCTATATTTGGAAATTATTTTTCTTATGGCTTTCAAAACGCTTCTTATATTTCTACAAATCTTAGGATTCCTCAAGCCTTCTTTTGACATTTGGACAATTCTGCCTACACAAGTCATTCAGGCTTCAAAATCAAAATAGAGGGAATGATTATTGTCCCTAGCAGAAACTTAGAAGAATGATCTAACCCTTTTCATTCTGAGTTATTCTATACTATTTTCTCCAGAATTGTTGCCTTTATTTATTTATTTATTGCAAAGCATCTAGTAAATGTTATTAGCTTAATACCTTTCTTCTTTTAAAAACAAAATTATCTTCCTATGTTTTTTTCAGATCTGATTTATAGAAAATATAACTGAATTATCAGCCTCTGTAGCAGAAAATAGCAAAATTTTGCCGGCTTTTAAAAAGTTCCTGAAACCTTTAATTAAAAGTATCTCATTTGTAGACTTTACTCATTTTACTTTTCTATTTTACTTTTCTCTGATGAGCATGAGCTGGAAATGAATGATCCATACCGTGAATCAATTGTCACAGTATCAGTTTCTGTTCCCATTGGGAAATCTTTAACTCTTGGCATTCTTTCATCTTTTTTGTTCTTGTTGTTGTTTAATTTTACAGCAAAACAGTAGTATCTCACTATACTTTTATAAAATGACAGAATATAAGCATTCATGATAACCATAGAAAAGTGCAGGACACATCAGTAAAGTCTTCCTTCTCTTTCAGGAACGGAAACCATCACTGGAACAAGAATTCAAGAAACAAAAACCAAGAAACAAAAGGCAATTAAAAGAATATTCATTACCAAGCTAATCAAGAAGCAGTAACAGCCTGAATAGGAGGAAATATTTAATACTGCTGAGTTCTCTTGCTGAACTGAACCATTTTCTGAGTGAGCATTAGAAAAACAGGGTGGGCATGGAAAAATAATACAGGTAGTCCCCAGTTTAAGAACAAATTCGGTTCCCAAGGTCTGTCCTTAAGTTGAATATTGTTGTATAATACTGTATAAGTAGTATTCTGTAATGACTTCGAACCATTGTGTATTTAACTCAAATTTTGCTACAATAGGCTCCATTCTTAACTATGGGTCCTCTGTAACCTGGGTGTTCTTAACCTGGGTACTACCTGTACTCCATATATTAAATATGTGTGTGCCACTGTTTTAACTATGCTTCTGATTAACAAATACACATAGGAAAGTAATGTCTCAGCAGTGCTAAATCAGTCTTATCTGGAAGCAACTTTTGTTTTAGGAAATGTACAAGAATTCTATCGCAGGATGTACCATATATCAAAGGAAAGTTTTAAATTAGGCCTCTTCCTGGAATGTTAAATAGTTTCCCTGTAGATTGTTATGTATTTTGGGGGAGAATAATAAATTTTGTAACTTCAATGAAATTCCTGTTGTTTAAACTATCAGCCTTTCACAATATCCTTTAAAACATACCATATGACAAAAAATATAGCATAATTTTATATCATAATATTTCTAGTTTGTTATAGTACGTTAATGGTTTTATCAAGGGACTAATACAGATTTTTGCTCAGAAAAAAATATGGCACGAAAATATATAATTTTATATAATGTTTCTTTTTTAAAAAAAGCTTTGCCTTACTTTCTGAGAATATTTAAATACTTTAAATTACATAATAAATTATCTAACACTCTTCTTTATTACTATTGCAGATCCAAGCCAAAAAAGTGACTTTGTATTCATTATTTTACATACAGAAGGTGTGACACTATCAATGATTGACCTTCCATTAATAATGAACTGATTATATATTGTAATTTAAACTGCACATAATTGAATTTTTACATTTCTGTCACTCCTATTTATCCAGACTTTATACTGAATAACTAATTTCACACTTATTAGAAAAAAAATTCTGCCATCAAGTAATCATAATTTAATGAGCACCACTGATTTTCAAATATGAACTATATGTTATCTTTAAAGGAAAATAAATGAGGATTATTTAGGAGGAGGATAGCTGCCTGATGGGAGAGGATGTCTTTTGTGAACTCCTGGCTTATGTTCCTGCTCTTTGATTTAGAGCTGGTCGAGACCTATTAAAGTAATCATATCGCCTCTCTTATACATCAGTAATTCCCAGGGAGGAAAAGCAGAAGCCAGGCAGCAAGAAGGAAAGAGAAAGAGAAGAGAAAAGACTTCTGATTTAGGGGAATGGAGAAAAGGAAGAAGCTTCATGGAGCCAGTCCTGGCTCACAGCACTTCCAAGACAGCTAAACAGCCAAAAATTGATAAACTTTTTTTGCAAAAAGAAACAGTAAGTAAATGTTCCCAAATTCCCATCTCTAATAAATTTCAGACTCTTGAATGAGATTTACAAACAGAAATAGAAAACCAGCAATTATTGGAGTTTTCTGCATCTCTTATGTCAGCCCTCCCCCATCATTCATCAGTCCGTTTCACCAGCTCTCCAGTTTCCTCTAAAGAAAATAACAAGAAGATTGCACAAGGCAAGGACTGGGAAAAGCTGCTGGCACAAGATGGCTCGACCGAATTCATGGCAAAACACAGCACAAACTTTCAGTGTTGAGCACTTAGCCTCCATTAAAAATGAACTGAACTTGTTAAAAAGTGATTTTGAGGTCTTTGCACAAAAGCACACAGAAAGACTCTCTGCCTTTATTGAAGCTCAAGCTCAAACAATCTAGCAAAGTGACACCCCTTAGGGAAAAAGAATAATAAATTACAAGCCAATAAAGGTGTCAATCTGATTACCGATGGAGGTGTGCAAGTACCCAAAGAAGTTACCTCATCAAACCGGACTCGTTCCTTGCAGTTAAGTCATATAT